AAATGTGCAGAGAGCAGAGCTGTGTGCAAGCTCGGTATCATCTCTGTCACTGACATCTCTCCCCTTGTGGGTAGTGCTTTGCCAGTCTCTGTCAGCCCAGAGCACTTGATCCCTAATAGGCGTGATGTGATAGTTAACCAACGCTTCAGCCTTCTAAAGAGCCTCCGAATTTAATCTCATTTTGTTGGTGGAAAAATGGGGGCATACGCACCATTTCCCTCAATCTTGGCATGAGGCTAGAAAAGCTGAGAGAGGTACAAACTATGGGCAAATCCTACTGTTGTATTTAAATATTGATATTCACAAACTAGAAAGAAATGATAGAATAGCACTAGAATCCAATTTTATAAAAATTTAGGATTTTTTCTCATGAGAATTTTTGAACTTTATGTCAAATTTAGTCTCTTCTAACCCACCTCCTAACCCACCATGCAGTCACCTCTTTTTTGCATTCCTGGATTGATAGTCATAACAGTTTATGATAAGCTATTAAAATATCTCCTCCTGATAACCTTGATAATTTATGCTTTCCCAGGACCTCTGATTGCAGCTTGTATTTGGGAATCTTGTCTGGGATGAGGGGTAAGGTAATAGTATGCTACCCTTGTGCAGATTATTTACATTTCTTGGAGCCATGTGTTCTTGGGAAACTATTTCTCAAAATCAGGAATTTGCCAGAGCCGTGTCCTTTAACTAGTCTTAAATATTTGAGTAAGAAGATAAGCAGAGGACTGGAAGCAGCCTTCATGTTGCTTGGAGGGCCGTCCGAGGGTAATAACTACAGCTCTGGTGTGTTTAAAAACACAGCTTGTTCTGACTAAGCTCCGGTAGCGGAACTTTAAGTTGTTTTTGCTCTCCCCAGAAGTCCCCTTTGTACGGCCTGTAGCCACAATGCTTGAGAAACACTTCGTGTAGTACTGTATTTGAGAAACAGATGCTGCCTTAGAAAAAGAATTGTAGTTTATCATGGTAGAAAGGAGGAATAACTCCTCTGAGTGGAGAAGGTATTTCCCCTTTTCCTCTCCAGTGTAAGCTTTATCTGCAAGCAATCTTTTTTTGACCATATATAGACTAAATGAAACCACTCTTTCTTTGATAGAATCTTTCAAAGAGAAAAAACCGTGGATTTTTTCCAGTGCAGAAAGGAATGGAAATAAGCATTTGGAATATCTTCTTTTTTTTCTTTCCCCTTTGCATATCAGGGAACTGTTTGAAAGACTACTTTGAAGTTTGATTTTATTTCTTTTATCCTACCAAAATGTTCAGAGTTTTAAGAACTATTTCACCGTTTTCCTCAACTGATGAGTGAAGTTTCTATAATGCTTACTGGTTTTTGGAGAGAAAAATCCTTTATTTCCTGTCATTGTCTGTGTTCTTAAGGTTCTTGTTCCATCATGAAATAAATAAATAAATAAATAAATATAAAATTCACCACACATTTTGGTCAAATGGGCATGGATCTTATGAAGAAAGTAACTTGAAATGATTACCAGTCTTTTGTATATCAAAATATTGATATGCAGATAGTCTGGATGTATCGAGTTTCTTTTCTTGTTTTATTTTTGCTTTTTCTTGGCTGTGCAGTTTTTTAGTGTTGTTAGAAAATTCCTAAAGTGTCTTCAGAATTAGACTTTGTCGCTTTCTAATGGTTCAATGTGGTAACTGATACAAAACTAGCCTTCAAATTCCGACTTTATTTTTCATGACTTTTCGGGACTAGAATGTATCATTTCCTAGAGAAGCTTTGCGCCCTTGAGGTTACCTGGAAATCAGGTGCTTAAATATGTATACTTTATTTCTAGAATGCTCTTTCAGATTTTGAAGTTTTCTGACTTGCTGAAAGTAGAGATTTGACCTGTCCTGTTTTGTCATGGAGCTGGGCTGGATTATAATCCACAGCATTAAGAGTCATAGTGAATAGGGAACTGAAGCTCTGCTTCTGCTGAAGGAGGTAAATATAAACCCTTTGCACCCAGGTTGTTGCTTACTCCATGAGTTCCCATTCTCCCTCTAGAGAATTTTCATTAAGGCTACAGGGTCAGTGCTTAGCTTAGCCATGAGCAGGTGCTGTAAGGACCACGGAGACTGTAAAATGGACAAGATTTCAACTCTGACCGGGATTATTCTGGAGGGACTGTGCACCTGAGCATCTGAGTTGGGACAGACCCGCCGTGCTGTGTTCCAGTTCATTGCTCCTGCAGTGTGCCTGTCCAGCAGAATTCCGTGGATTCCTCACTCTCCCTCTGGTCTGAGCTCTGGTGACCCACAAAAGACACAGGACACAGGAGCTGCCTCACTAGCAGAGTTAGAGCTTTGTTTCCTGAAGGACATGATCTTATTGCAAGAGGGAGGCACCTTGATCTCTCATCCTAGTATTTGAATCTTCATATTGGGAGCTGAGAAAACATGCCGGGTGGAAGCCTGCAGCAAGGACAGCTGGTATCTGGGACAGAAGTTTCTGGTGTCCGGTTATTTCTGTTAGTGCAAGTGGTAGTGCCAAACCCAGTAAAAGTTTGAGGATTCCTTCTGCTTCCTTATCCCTTCTTTGCTGCCTCTTCCTGTTTTCCCCAGATTTAAAAGAAGTATCAGGCATACTATTGTCTACTACCTTTCACAAGGCAAATATGAAATATTTTAAGTGGTAGACTGAGTGGGCTGTGTGTTTCTTCCTGTTTCCTCCTGTTTCCATCTGCTAACTGCTTCAACACTTCCCTGCGATTGCTCCATTTAGCCACAGCTTTGATCTATATGAATGTGGGGTTGGATGGTTTTTCCTCTAGGATCCGTAAGTAGCAGATGTGCTCCTTTACTGCGTACTTTTCATGTAGCTCTCTCTTAACTGCCCTTCGTATAGAACCCCCGCAAAAGATATATCTTTTGAGGTTTCCTGTAACACTGCAGAACAACAGTACAGAGCCTCTTAGAACATTGGTCCTTCTTGCAGTGATCACCATGGCTTATTTCTTCTCCCTTCAACCTCTCTATGTGCCAAGTTGAATTCTTTCTTTCTTTATTTTTTTAATACCTTGGAGTACTTTTTTTTTCCTTTTCTTTCAGACTCAGAAACTGCAATGTGTATTCTGAGTTGTGAGTAGCAGTAGCATCTCCAGGGGCATGAGAGAAGCTGTCTGTGTTAGCCTTCATCTTCTCAGACAGAAATACCTGCCATACACTTACATGTGTTTGGACATTATCTCGGAAAAACAGCTCTCCGAAACTGGAATGCTAGTTCACTCGCAACCCTTGAGGTCTACAAAACTACATTATATAATTGCCACATTGAGCAAATCGGTTGGATTGGGCTATCCACTTGCAGAGGAACATTTCCCCTTTGGGAGTTTGTATAGACGTAATGGAAATAGAATCTCCAAGCTTTAACAACTCAGCCACCGACTGAGGAATTTCATTAAACCTGCCTAATTTCAGATAAGTTCAACCTTCGTCGTAGGTCTTCATCTTTATTTCCCCTTTACCTACTTCACTGTCTTTACGTTGAGTCCAGAGTGAAGTTGGCTTGTCCAGATGCTATGCTTTTGCATCAGTGGAGCCTCTGTTGGACTTTATGCCAGTAGCTCTCCCTTTCATATTTCAAAACCATGTTTTAAAGTTACAGACCTTGAATTTTTCTTTATATAGTTGTCTGCTTGATTTTCAGCACTGAGTTGTCTTCTAGGTTTGATACAATAGCTAATTTGCATCGATCCTGTTGCTTTCCTCACCTGTGTTGTATATTGGCAGGGCATTGTCTAATATAATTCGGTTTAGTAACTAAAGCTTAAGAGTCTGAGATTCTGGTACTGTAATCTGTCTTCTGTCAGGTAATTGCTGAACAGCATAGCAGCATGTCCTAAAATGACCCCTTTATGCTCAGATGAGACCCTGGATGCTTAGCTTCCTCTGCTGAGTTTCCCAGTGAAACTCCTGTCTTCAAAATTAAATTGTCTGCTTTATTTGCTTTAATTAGATTTTGTTCTATCTTCTTTTCCGTACTTTATTTCTTCACCTGAATCTAAAGGATAACATTGACTCAGAGATGCTGATAAGCTAATGACTTAAAACAGTATTAAGGCTTTAAAGAACCCAAACGATGGAGTAGTTTAAATTAAGGGAAAATCCATTTTTTCCCCCCCTCTTCTCTAACTTCTCTCAGATTGTCATTTTTGATGTGTTTCTGCTCCTGGATTTTAATATTTGTGTCTTTTCAATTGAGAGAAAAGGAAGAAAACTTTTTACTGTTGTTGCATTAATTTTGCAGGTGCTAGTGGAGATCATGTTTATACATTTTGTTACACAGCAGAAAGTGAAGATTTTGGAGCACAAGATGCAGCAAAGCTTGACAGTTGGGTTTTTGATCATGTAAAGGTGAGTAAAGACTCCTTTTATGCTGCCTGTGCATAGAAAGCACGATTGGAGGATGATGTTAATTATAGCTTTCTCTGTAGATCTAGGATGTATCGAATTTATGAAAGATCTGTTGTTTGGGTTAATAATTAAAAAAATGCTCGAATTGATTATCATTGTTAGTGCACTGAAAATTTAAAGGAAGTATTTGTCATTCAACACTAATCTTAAAAAATACCCCTTTAAAATGGTATGTTTTCCTCTGAAATTTGCATATAATCTGAACCCCACCCTTTTGGAATATTACAAGCGCTTCAAAATCTAGGATATGTTAAAAGGTCTTGATTATGACAAAGAAGCAGAGAATATTCTTCTTAATTTATGTCAGGATCCCGCCTACTGTAACTGTCAGGTGTTGATGTGATACATGGAGCTGACTCTCATCTGCTGTGACTTACACAGAGGAGCCCTCTGAGCTAGTTCTGTGATACAAGCAGCTGACTCCCTCACATGGTGCTGTGCTCAGCTGGCTCAAGTCAATGCTGGTCCATTGACTGTTCATCTTTTGTGATTCCCTCACTGTACATATTCGTATCCCAGTGCACGTAGGTTTTAATTATTGTGAATGCCTGTGTTCGTGTTGTGCTGTGCTACCCACTTGACCCGAATAATGAAGTGTTGGTAAGTGGGTATTGGCTTAACTGTTTATATCAGTGGAGCAATTAGGCGAGTTTTGACTTTCTGGATCTCATAAAGATGTTGAATGCAGTTTAAGATTTAATAAAGCTTTCCCACAGGCTCTCTGGACTGCTCTAATGCAAGCCGAGGGTGGGTCTGCTTTAAAGAATGATGTAGGTGGAGAAGGATTCATTATAGTTCGCGAGTTCTTAAAGAGGTGATTTTTCTGAGTCTGGAAGTGGAAAGATATTTTTTTCTAATTGCCCTCCTCTCCCTGAATTTGCACTTTTGCCGGGTTACATGTTGTAATGTGTATGAATAATACAAAACAAATTAGGCTTTTAATTTTACTTGAATAATTACTGTCTTAAAGTTACACCCTGCTGTGAGTTGGAGTTGCACAAGTATTTGAGGGTGGTGCCATCCTTTTTGCTTCAAAACACCTCACAGCACATTCCGTCTTTCAGGTTAAAATTAAATGCTTACTGGTGACTTCCTGCTTGGAACCATCTTCATTATGTTAAATACGTATTTTGCCTATCTACATTTCATGCTGTTGAATGGGTAGGACTTGACTGACTAGTCTAAAGCATTCATTCCACTAATCATCACTTCTGTTGCACATCAGTGATTGCTTCAGAAGCATGAAGGTTTGAGCCTGACTGAAACTGAGGTCGCTCTGCTGTAACTCCAGCAACTACACCAATAACAATGAGAATTTGAATTTGAAATCTTCTTCGACTAAAATATGTTTCCGTTGCTTGTTGAGTTTTGTCTCAAATGTTAACTGGCCTGTCATCTGACCCTGTCTTGAGCAAGGTGGTCCCTAGGTTTCTGCCTCTGCTCTGTGAAGTGAAAGGCACTGAGGTCTCTTGCAGTGTAGTCAGTCTGTCCCAAGGGTGAGGAGGGCTGCTGGTGAACAACAAGAGGAGAGAAAATGGGACAGGGAAGTGGACTCTAAAGTTTGGGGCTGTGAGCTCTGGCATCCTCAAGTTGATCTTTCTCTCTCTTTAGTGCTAACCAACAATAACTCGACTGGTACAGAGGTGTGTGAACTCTGTAACTAGTTTATATAGCAGGCTGCTTATAAATCATTAGGAGAGGGAAGAAAATTCATTGATGCTTTGTAGTTTCTCTTATGTTTGTTGGACAAAGTGACCTCCATTTTGATTCAGACTTCTTTTTTTCCTCTGGCAAATTGAGATTTCTTCCTTTTTTTTTTCTTTTTTTTCATTTATAGATGGGTTAAAACTCTTTGTGGAATTTTATTATTCTGTGCTAGTAGTTTGGGGATGGCTCCAGAGCCAGATGGATGTGGAGCTGACAGAGCATTTTGCCAGAAGCCTTCAAAATAATTGGGGAACTGAGCAGAATTTGCCTTGATATGTGGCAAGTCTTTTACTTGGACTGCACTTTTCCATGGGTTTCTGCTAAGGGAAAAAATAGGGAGAAAAATACTGAAAGACTAGATTAACAAACAAACCTAAAAAAAAAAGCAAAGTTGTTTTCTTTCTATGCATTTCAGATGTATTAAATTGTTTTTCTCAAAATACTTAACATTGAACATTTAGGTCAAACTGATTAAAACATCCCAGGCACTCAGGCACCTTTGGAAATGAGAGAGTGTCAGTAATGCACATCAAACCACAATTTCTTTCAAAGTGTGTCTAACCTATGGTCACAAAAAGCTGACTTCTGCTGACTTAAATAGACATGGACATACAGCTGCAAACGTTTCTCTTCTTTTTTTTTTTTTTTTTTGAATACAGTGGTTTGTTTTCCCTTTGGTGTCCCTGTTTTGCTGGAAGGGCCATGCTAACACTTCAGTCTCTCCCTTCTAGGCAGGGTGGGGACTGGACTTGAGAACTGAGTGATGTTAAGCTCCGAATATCTGCAGACACAATGTCATGTCCTGATGCTTATCTCTGCAGCTGGATTTCAACATGAGTATTTCCAGCAAGCAGTTCAGTGCTTCAGTGATTTTTATTGAAGTGGGTGTAGCAGCCTTGTGCATGAGCAAGCTCAATTGATATAAACCTCGTGTATGTATCTGTTTATCCTGCCTTTGTGCATTTTATTTTGTATCTAAAAATTGGCCTAACTGTTTGAACCTTTGCATGCAGACGCCTCAGTCTGCACTGCATTAATCAACCAATTTGATTACATTGTCTTGGATTTATATGTGGAAGGGCTTTGTGGCAAGGGCAGGTTTTGTGAGGTCTCTCTCCTTATGCATCCCTGCAGTCAACAAATTTATCAGTTCTGTAAGAAGAGCCTGTTTCTAAGGAGGACTCTCTCAGTCCCTTCAAACGTCTGTGAAGCCTGTATGTTTTTCAGACACCGGTATAAATAATGTATCTGCTAGGCCTTTGTAGTCTCATCTTTTGTTTTTGCTTTCTCCCGCCAAGAAGGGATACGTTACAAAGATTTCATATGCTCTTAGACAGCTGTAACCAAACTATTTGAGTAATATTTTAATTAGTACTTGTATTATAATCAATTACCTTTTTTGCTTATTATCGCGGGTCCTATTAGACTGTGCATCAGTTGTAACGAGGGCGTTATTTGTTGATATTTACCAGAAAAGTGAAAAGCTGGTTGGAACTCTGGAGATGCATCATCTGCTTCTCGTAAAGCTTTTCACAAATATACCTTAGTGTCACAGAAAAATGTAGCTTGGACAGGAGCTCTGGAGGTCGTACAGTCTAACTGTCTACAGGAGGTCCCGTGAGAACAGGTTGCTCAGACTTTGCTCAGTCAGCTTTGGGCTTCTTCAGGGATAGAAACTCCACAACCTCTCTGAGCATCTGTTCCGATATCTGACTACACTCATGGTTTTTCTTACCTAACTGGACTTCAATATTTTGAATTTACTGTTTACTCTCATCCTCCTTCCAATCACTTCTGAGCAGAGCAGAATTCCTCTCCATCCTTTCACCCCCTCACTCTCCCAGAAGGTAGCAGTAGACAGCAACTGGGTCTTTCTGCAGCCTTCTCTTCTCGAGACTAGAAAAACTGAGTTCTTTCAGGCTCTTAATGTAGATCCTGTACTCCAACCCCCAACTTGTTCTGGTGTCGCTCTGCTTAAATATGCAAAGGAGGTAATATCACTGAACAGAATAATCCAATCCAAATATCAAGACAAGATATTGCAGTTAGCATACAGACATGGCTTGGAAATTAGTGTCAAGTAGGTCTTAAGTTTTGAAGATAACGAGTACTAAAAAAGAGATGCATTTAATGTGCAAGGGCATGTAAGGTTACTGCTGGTTAGCACACAACAAGAGTAAGTGCTTATTGCCCTTCATTTGTTGCTGTCCACTTGCCAGCTCATCGCCTTCGTCAGCCTGAGACAGCTCCTTGCAGTGAACTTCTATTGAAAAAAGCCAATTGGACCTTTCTACAAATGTTCTGTGGGATGAAGTTTGCTGTTTGCGCTGGGAAAAGATGCTGCATCTAATGTTACACTCTCCTTCCTTTTGTTGTCTTGCTTTTAATTAGTCTGAGGTTAGGCAAGCTGTTCTGACTTCTGCTGCTTTGGGTTAGGAGGTTTCTTGTGTTTAGGAAAGTGAGGTATCTTTGGAATGTTCTGGGAACCCATCAAGTGGAAAAGAAGAATTTCAGGCCTTGCTTTACTCCTGGAGAATTTTATTCATTCCATTAGTCTTTGCTGGAAAAAAAATACCTTTCTCTAAACCTTTCTTTAATGATGTTAAATTTTATTTAACATAACATTTCATTTAACATCATTAAAACTTTTGAAAGTTTTAATTTCAGGAATTTACTGTTCATCTGCTTTGAAATGTTATTGGTGTTCCCTGGAAGTTTTTTTCAGTATGCAATCAAATATGTACAGATGGACCCCTGTGGGAAATGGAAACCTCTGAAAAAATAATTACATTGCTATTAAAAATCAGATTTTTTAAAAAAATTCTTATTTAAAATAACTCTGGACTTTAGTCATAATTTTTTGGAGAAGGGCTGAAGTTGAGAACATGATAGCACTTTCACGTGAATGTCAGTCTGCAGCTTGTGTATATTCAGAAAGTCTTTGCTTTCTTGAATTTGCTTTTATTAAGGTGGAGTCAAGTATTGTCATGGTTTCCTGACAAAGTTGACAGTGGTTCTCTTGCTACCAGCTTGGTTTTCCTCTAGGGACAGTGACTTCAGTTTATATAATGTGTGAGCTTCCTTTTTTTTTGCTTTTGAACTGAATCCTACCCAAGTTTGTTTCCTTGGGCAGTGCTGCTGCTGGGGAGATGTTGCTGGAGTAGCTGTCTGTCCACATCTTGCCTTGCTGTCAAGGGGCTGCTCTCCAACAACACGGCCATGTCAAGACCCTTGCAGCCTGCGGGAGAAATGCCCCTGGCATCAGCCTCAGGATGCTTAAGTGGGACATGTGCAAGACAAATATATGTCCTGTAGCCCACAGTATTTACAAAGCACGTGTGTGGTGTTATTTTCTTTTTTGTTTTGTTTTGTTCTGTTCTACTTTGGCTTCTAGAAATGATTGTAGCTTGGTGCCTCAGTCCTGCAGAACCTGTTTCCAAAGCAAGAGTGCTTGAGATCTTTTCTAGCTTTAAATCAAGAAATCGATGGAAATGGAAAGCCATAACAGAGCTCGGCAGTGGTGCATAGCCATGCTAATGTATGAAGCAAAGAAGGGAGGAGGCAGTTATCTGCTATCACTGTCTAAAGAAACTAAAAAAAAAGTAAATCAGGAAGTAATTAATTTTGCTTTCATAACTCTAATAACTGCTTGTATTGAAACATGAAAACAGCTGCATTTTAGTTTTAATAGACTGCCTCTCATCTTTTTCCATTATAATCAAGTTAATATCTTGATGTCTTATTCCATACAGGGCTTCTTTACTTCTTCCAGAAATAATCAAACGTTGTATTCTGCACTAAATGAAGAAAAAGTGGTCCTGTTCCTGCATTTGCTAGGCATAGACACAAATGGGCATGCTCATCGGCCAAACTCAAGGTAGTTTGAGAGACTAAGTATATAGCTTTCCTCTTAGTGTTGAGTGCATACCCTTAACTTTTTTTTTTGCCTTTTTTTTCCCCTAAACTGTTTTCCTTAACAGTAGTACTTACCAAGACAAAAACATGACTTGTCTTGATGAGTTTCTGTATTAGGCCACGTAAGTCATTATGACTACTGATGCTCTTAATTTTGGGGGGGAGGTTGCTGTTTTAAGATCTTCATATAAGAAGTGACAAACGTTACTGTTTTCCTTTGCACTTTGTAATGCTCCTTCAGTCAGATCTGATTTTTAGCAGTAAAGGTATATGTGCATTACAGTTTTAAATGTAAAAGTGGAAGCAGTTCTTGAATCCCATCTATCAAAAAGAGTAAGGTTGAATTTACTGAAAACAAAAAGTATAGAAATAATAATGCAGCCCTGTTTTAGCTTTACTAGGAGACTAGGGAAAAAAAAAGTTTAGATTTAAGAGCTTAAATTTAAATTTGAGAGCTTTCCTTTCACTTCTTCAAATGCTCTGAATGTGGAATTACGTATTTTTCTCTTGCATGCTTCAAAATCCCTGCTCTGATTTCTTATACCACTGCAAAGTTTGAGCTTTCTGTGTGTCTCACATATGTCTCATTTTTACATTAATATTTTAAAGGTGCATTTTAAAATCAACTTTGGCTGCACACAGAAAGCTTGTTTGGTTGCAAGTTATCACTTTTTTTTTTAACATAGAAATTTTGGGGTCAGTGTCTGGCCCACAAAAGGCTCTGTCCTGACCTGTGAAATATTTCAAACCAGTCCTTGGTTTGTAAATTCTTTATCTGATAGTCAATTACCAGCTTCAAATAACTTTCAAAACTTAAAATTTTGAGTTTCTGCTTCCCGGAATTCCTTTAAGTTTTGGCATTCACCTTCAATTGCCTAATTGTTATGAGTGATTAAATTATAGTCTGCAATCAATGACTGATGAGAAGCAGAAGTGAAAAGCCCTCTGAAAATGTAGTTTTGGGAGCCTTAAAACTGCCCTGTGATGAAGTAGCATCTCCTCCAAGGATTGGAGAAGGAAATGTTTCGGCTCCAGGATGCCTTTTGTTAGCTTAAGGTTCTGTAAAGGGCCATGTTGTCCATTATCATAGGACTAGATATGGTTAACTCACTGTCCAAGAGCCACCTTGATTCTAATATTGTTTTTCTGCTTTTATTCTTTTTTACAGGGAATACAAGGAAAATATTAAAAAAGTTGATGAAGGTGTAAAGGAAATTGCTTCAATGCTTGAAAATTTTTATGGAAATGATGGAAAAACTGCATTCATCTTAACTTCTGACCACGGAATGACAGATTGGGGTGAGCCTTTAAATGTTGATAGTGAAACTTATTGGTGAATACCTGGAGTGGGATTAGAGGTCTGTTCCTGTGGAAGGTTTAAAGCCTTTACTTTGATTTAAGCCGTTTGCTTTGATTTAACATTTATGAAGCCTACGTGAATTAGGAAAGAAATAACAGGGTGCAGGGGACCTCAAAGCCCTTTGAAAACAGAGATTGATGCCTGGGCTGCAGAACGAGTTAATAGGGTAGAGCTCAACTCATTCAACAGCTGCTAGTGGGTGAGTCAGAGCCAAGAGAAGGGGGAGAAAAACCCCTAAATACCGCTTTTATCAGAAGGAAACTAGCCTGGGCAAGAGGTGCTTGCCTTATTTGGCTGCTAACAGCAACTCTGGGCTGGTTCAGGACCACATGGGACAGAAACACCCCTTTGTTGCTCTGGAGTGCCTGGGAGAGGCGGAGGGAGTCCTAGAGGTGGAGAGAAACTGTGCGTCTTTTCACTTATTTTGGTCCTTAGGTCCAGGAGGAAGGATGGGGCTGCCACAAGGCCTTTGCACAGGAGGCTGGAGCCAGCGAGTAGGTGGAGGGACTGAAAGCAGCAGGAGGGGAGTGAGGCAGGTGCCTGGCCGGGCTGGTACCCGCAGGGGGCACCTGTGGAGGGCACGACCACGGTGGGCCATGACTGGAGGCAGCTTTGGCATCACGACGTTGGGGCAGACTAGGGAGAGCTTATTGTGGTGAACTTGTTTATACAAACTTCCCCTCTGCCCTAAGATTTTTAAGAACATTCTTGTCCTTTCTTGCAGCTGATTAATGTGGGGAGTGAGGAGGGAGGGAGAGAAGTCTCCTGTAATACCATAAACACAAGGATACTATTTGGGATACCAATTAACCTTTAATTTTCAATTAAGTTTTAGCAGGATTAAATTACTCTTTTATACTGCTTTCATATTGGAGGGAAAAGTGCTTACTATGGTGTTCTTTGAGCAGCTCAGATTTTCCCCTTAAAATACTCTTGCTAGCCTTTAAAGACATTATTAGTGGCTGTGCCTAAGGGGCAAGTTCATTTGTAAAACCTCAACTGCCTATCTTTGTAAACATTAATAAAACAGTAATTCTGCTACATTTCAAACAATAAAAAGGAAAAGATATTTTAACAGTCCAATGAGGCAGCAGTAGTGCTGTCACAGAAACTACAAAGTAACTGTAGCCTTTTTTACTGGTAAGCAGAGATTAGGGAGGGCTGTGGTGCGATTTTCAGGTTTTTAAGGGAATGTAAGTGGAAAATCCCTAATTAAATGTTTCGGCTCCAGGATGCCAACAAACAAACAAACAAAAAAAAAAAACAAAAAAAAAACCCGCAGCCATACAAATAAAAAAACCTCCAAAGTCAATACCCCAGCTTTGGAAGAGAAATGTCAATTAAAAATAATATAAATGAAAATACACTTGCTTTGAACAGCAAGTACCAAATGCAGCAAGTTCCTGTTGCAAGCGGTCACTGTGATTCTGTGAAAGAAAGCTTATGCATCAGTCACAAATCTCATCTATCCCTCTCCCTACCCCTGCAAATACATAAATAAATAAAAGGAGGGGGGGAAAAAGATGAAACAGTTTGGCAGCCTCACCTGCTTCTGACTTTGGAGGTGAAGTAGTATGGCAATCTCTGAATATAGAAAAACTTGGAAGTAAAGCAAAATAAATGGATAAATGGCCAGATACAGCATTTGATAATTCTGAGTTGCAAAAAAATACTCCAGGGAGTAGTAAACCATGACAATTTTGGTGTCTGGCTCTTGTAGAAAAAAATACATGCTTGGTGTACTTGTAGCTAGTAATTTTTATACTTTTGAACCAGGGATGCTTTGGGAGTACTCATGGCAAAGCTCAAGGTCACACATTTTCTGTGCTATCCTAAACTTTTCATGTGGATGGGATGTAGATTTGTTCTATTATCAGAGATGAGAAAAGTATTCATTTACTTATTCAAAATTGGCATAATTACTATCAGCTTACTTGCAATTTGAGTATTATTTAGTCCATTTGAATCCATTTGAGCCATGAGTCCATTTGAGTATTATTTAGAGCTACCACCTTTAATAAAAGATTTTAATTCCAACACACATACATACATTTCTGCTTTATTTGAAGTTATCAGTTCATATTTCTTTCCCATGTGCTCAGAGGGGCGTCAGGAGGTCCAGTCCCTTGTTCTCCAAGGGGGGTCACCTGTGAGGACGGGCTGGGTTACCCACTCGGGCCTTGGAAACCTCCACGGCTGGAGCCCGCGCAGCCTCTCGGGGCGGCCTGCTCCCCTGCTGGCTCTCCTCGTGGGATGGAAAGTTCTTCCGTACATCCAGTCTCATTCTCCTTTGCTTCAAACTGTGGTCTCCCACCCTTGCACAACACACCTCAGTGAAAGCCCAAGGCCACTGTCTTGCCAGCTGTGCCCGTAGGTGCGTGCAGGCTGCTCGTAGGCCTCCCCAAAGCTGTCTCTGCCCCAGGCTGTGGCAGCCTTGGACCCTCGGCCTCCCCTCGCAGGAGCTTGGGGCACTCGCTTATCTTGCTACAGGCCGTGTCACAAGCGCCGTAGAGAGGGGGTAACCTTTCCCTTGAGCTCTTGTGTGTGCTAGTGCAGACCATACTGCTGTTGGCCCTCTCTGCTGCCAGGACGTGCTGCTGGCTCCTGGCCAGCTCGTGTCTGCCACGGCCCTCAGCTCCTTTTCACAGGCTTGTGTCTTTGTATACGTACATACATACATTTGTGTGTGTGTGTGTGTGTGGGTATGTATGCACATATGCATACTTAGAGAGTATTCAAATAACTGCATGGACCAGAATCTGCTTTCTAGTTAGCATGTAGGTTAGTGTCAGTAGGTGAACACTGATCAGCTTTGCTGTCAGTACATCCATCTAGAAGAGCAGCTAGGGAAAACATAGTAAAAGGTATCCCTAGGCATTCTTCCGGTGAGCTGGAGCCTTTGGACAGGGAAGAAAAGATGGTAAGGCTGATCTCTCAGGCTTTGAGAGCTTCTGCTCTGTCGTAGTTTTCTCTGTCACTCCCTTTCCGTTTAAAGAAGTAGCAGCCTGATTTTCTGCCAGGAGAGTTAATGATAAATTGACTTCAGTGAGTACAAGAGCAAACCCAAAGGAGACACGCAGGACCCCAGCCAGCAAGCTGAAGGCTAGCTCAGTAGCCTTTTAATTAGAACCGTAGCGTCAGCAACTGCTGCCTTTTTTTCAGTGATTATTTCCAGATAGGGAGGACACCAGGTTTTAAAAACGAAAAGGCTCTGAGGGAAGTGAGCATATCTAAACCTGGCACAACCCAGGAACTTGTGGTTGTCCACAAGGCAAGGAACTCCTTTGCCTTCCTGGCGTGCGATTTTGCTTTAAGCTAATTGCAACAGCAGTTGCTTTCCGGCGTCAGTGGTCCCACGTTAGGCTTCTGTTGGTATGAGCTTACCAAAAATGACGCTTTCCTCCTGTCATGGAAAGAAATAGCTGGAATAGGACAGGGGAAGCACTTTCCTTGGAAATAAAAAATTCTTCATCGGTTTGTTTCCCAGTCTCCACAAGTGGAAAGTTGTTGCTACTTTTGAGGCCAGAGAATGCCTTACTAAGGGATTCTTCTGGATTCTCTTATCAGGCCCAGGTCTGTCTGTTCTTAAGCTTAGGGCTGTTTAAAATGAAGCCAAACTGACTTCTTTTCTGCCATAGCAATCATTCCACATTCAGTGTCAGCACTATTCCCAGTATTGTCTGATTCTGTAAAATAAATACATATACAGGAGTGGATGCATATATATACACACACAAACATAGAGGTAGAGTTTATGTCTATACACCTAAAATATATAATCCTGTAAAGTGTGGAGTGACGGGCATAGAGTTTGTATGAGAATCTCCTTCCTTCCAGGACTGGCTTCTGTCACTGCTGTGGTACCTCAGGCACTGAGCTGAGGGATCGACAGATCCTTCAAGCTTGTGTGGCTTCTGCTTCAGTGCGGCTTCTGCTTCAGTGCAGCTGCTGCTGAGACGTCGTATTTATTATTAAAGCTTTCTCCTTTTGGCAGCTGATACATTAATTTCGAGGAAACTGATTTCCTCAGGGAGGGAAGCCATGTATTATCAATTTTTAAGGAGTGTACTACTGGGCTTTAAAATGGTAAAGAATAACTTGCATCAACAGGAAAGCATGGCTGGCATTATACACATTGTCTCTTGTTTTAAAAGTAGAGGTTTAATCCTTATCTAAGTGCCAAAGAGGTGAGTTTTGTGTAATTTTAGGCACGTGCTTGATTTTGCACAGATGAATTATGTCTGGTTTCCATGGAACACTCAAGGTAGTCATGCACAGGTTTCTTGAGCAGTGGACACCTGTCTGCCTTTCCAATACTTCTGTCTTGATTTCTGTTTCTGTATTTTACAATTGAAGGGAAAAAAATATTAAAACACCATGTATGTTTTTATAGACTTTATTTGTGTAAATAGCAGCAATTTCCATCCTATATCTTGGGTTCATCCTTAAGCAGTAGAAAATAAGGTGTGAAGCTAGAGCAGTTTGTCTGTAGTAGAAACTTAGATGTATGTATTTTTTAAAAAAACATAGTGCATCTTGAATTCTGTTTACACTACTTTTGATTTTGTGCACCTTAGGATCCCATGGAGCTGGCCATCCCTCAGAGACCTTAACACCTCTAATTGCTTGGGGTGCTGGAGTGAATTATCCACAGAGGGTTGCATCCCAGTTCTTTGAAGACAGTTTTTTGAAAGGTATGTAAAATGCAAAACTCTAAGTGCAAAATTTTGGTTGAAGGACTATGTTTAACTATTATACCTGCTTGGCTCCGCTGAGTGACTTCTCTCCATTTAGGGCCATGTGTCTTGCTTTGTGCAGTGTGGAAGGAGAAGGTGACAGGGCGTAAGTGTGGAGGATGTTGCAAACTTGTGTAGGTAATATCAGAGTAATGTTTTCTTTTCTAATTATTGAACTGAGGCTCTTTCTCTCTTTGGATACAGAATATTCTGCGCGCTCCTTGTTTTAGGGAGGCTTAGTTCTTAGGTAGCCTTCTAGAGGTTAAAAGCTATTTGTACAGAAACATGAAACTTGGCATGTCCTAAGACCCTTTTCCAGTTTAACAGTAGAGCCCGGGGAACTTGCCAGGGGCTGTCTTATCTCATGTTAATCCTTGCGGCTCTTGTGGAAATGTAAACAGTTTTTCTCAGTAAAAAGTGTCATCATTCTTCTCTGTTATTTTTCCTTCCTGTAGTTTATTTAAGGGGAGTAGACATCACTTTTTTTTTCTTCTTTTTAGCCTATTTAATATTTCAAACATAATCAATAGTGGCTTATTGGAATATTTCTGGGAGTCTAACAATGCATGTGGAAAAACTGTGTAAGCCCTTCCTTTTACATATGCTCTGTTTTTGGAGCCTGCTTTGCTTCTTAACGTTGAATCTCTTAGGTTATTACTCAGGATCAAGGAGGTAATGGTTTTCTGTTTTATTGAATTGTTTTTCAAGCTACATTAGAGGAGAGAAAACAGGCAGAAATGTGTTCAGCCTTGAGGTTTTAACTCTACCCTGCTCTTGAAGATTCATGGTACCTAAGATTATATAAACATGACTTCTCAGATCTAGATTGTGCTAATGTGTCACTTTCTGTGGTCACTGGCTGGTATAAAATTACAGCATCTCTAATAGATCTGAAAATAAGTTGTGGAACAATGGAAAATAGAGTGGAAATGATTGATTTTGATACGTACTTATGATGGATCATCTGCTAATATCTTTAAGTGTCAGTCCATAATAGCGCTGATTTTTCACAGCTGTTGTAGTTCTTACCATTTTCAGTGGTTGTGGTACAGACCTCTGCATCTGGTTGCAAGTAATGATGCAAATGCTGTGGATGCATTTGGAAAGGATGAAATAAGTCTTGAGCTGACATCCAGGCACACAATGGAGGATTTTTAGCTGTAACCTGTTAGAAAATGCTTGCCCTCCTAAAGGAGGGAATGTCTGCACTGTGTTGTGTCCCCCTGGGTAGTCTTGCACTGATTTAAAACAAACAAACAAAACCCACAATTCCCCTTCCTTTCTTCTGGGCTTACTCTGCAGTCTTCCATCTGAAAAGCATGGTGTAAGTCTGCTTAGAAGCTCTGTTTACAGCTTTTTAATTGCTGGGAATAATCTAGAGAATATCTTCTGGAGGCTGAGTGCTCCCTCTCTGCAGCAGCCCATTGCAGCTCCCTATAGGCTCTGTGGCTTGAAAACAAAGTGGTTGCTGAAATGGAACTTGGCACTTTTGCAGGTCAGTACAGAGAGCAGCTCCTACGCTAAGTTACAACCTCCCAGATGTTTTCATAAAGCTGAGAAACGAGAGAAAAGATGTTTGTAAGAAGTCTCTGCAAAGTTCACTCTGTTTGCCTTTTCAGCTCCTTGCAGAAGCAGCTGGAACTGTGCGTAGGCTGGGATTGCTGTAGGTGCCCAATTTGCATCTGGCACAGCATGCATCAGCATTCCAAGTTCTTGCACCCACTGGCAATCCTTCCTAATTTCTCCGAGTTAGGAGCTTATGGAAACAGCACAATATTTGTAGAGCTGACCAGCTTATTCTCTGTTGAGTGCAAGCTGGCTCTAGGAAGCTCAATGAATGGTCTCTTTCCTCACCATGTCCAGCAAGGGTAGGTGTTGCCATAGGCAGTGCCTGGAGCACCGGAAGCTTTTCCCATTCCTTGCGAGCACTTGTGTTTAGGGTTGTGCTACCTTGTCTAAGACAGTGGTAACAGATATCACAAAAAGTTTTGTGCCTTTTGGAAATAGTTCAGTAATAGAAGGCAAGATTTAAAAACTTCTAGCCAAGCTAGACATGTCTCTAGCAGAGCTACTTACTCCCTACCTAAAGCATATTTGGCTGTAGACAGTCAATTGCCTTTAATTAGCAAATGTTAAAGGAAAACAAACCGTGCCATCTTATAACAGAAATGCAGGCAAGAATCAATATCTCTAGAAATACAAACCTGTAAGCAAAAGTAAACAACAACTTGTTTATTTGGTCATAAATTTAACACAGAATTCATGATTAATGCTGCTAGTACTTCCCATGTACATGCCATGGGAACGTCTTGAAACTGTATTTCTTATTGTTGTTAAGATACGTAGCTGCTGTTAAGACTGCTGTATGCACACAAATTGCAGTGAAGCTGTAATCAGACTCCTGAACGCAGCTGTGGTATAAACTAATAGCTGAAAAATAGTTTTGCACATACATACAATGCTTAAAATAGCAGTGTTTCCTGTTTTGGACAATTTCCAGCCTAGACAGGCTGGATCTGGCATGGGCAGGGTCAGCTGAAAGATGGAGGTGGGGATGGTCTAGGACTAGTGTGTGCGTTGTTCCTTGGAAAATAAACAAGGACCAGAATTTTGAAGTCTGGTTTACTAATATTGGTAGTGTGGTGTGCATCTAGTGCATTTAAACCTGCACTCTTATACAAACACAAAGGTTGCTTTTGGATAATGTGTATAGAGGGAATAGTCTAAATGAACCAGTCTAAGTGAGCCGGTTGCAATCTGAGGTGCTGCACAGGCTCTTAGTTTGATCTGTGCTGCTCTGTATTCCCTGAGGTCAACTAGAAGATGCAGAAGACAGAGCGGCCTGTTCAGCTCATTGTGTATGCAAAGGAAGGGGGCTGTGTCCCCCTTGCTATCATTAGTTGTGGCTTTTCAGTGGAGGACAGATGGGGTGAAGAAAGAAAACAGCTAAACTCCATTTTGAAGCAACTTTCCACCTCCAAAGAAAACAGAATCACAGAATCAGACAATTTCCTCTTCGTTTCCTATGAGGCTAATGGTGAACAGAAAAACACTGGTTCTGAACCAGCATTTTATATGATATGCCACAGCTTCAGGGGCTAGAGGTACATTTGGGTCATCTGTGCTCTCATTGCACGTGTTCCGATTGCCAGATCATTGAACTTTTCCCTTGAGCTTGCTCTTGGCCAGTCTTGCATACGGCAGACGTGTGTAGTGTGTTTACCAGCCCGTGCCAGCATATGGGACCTCGGGTTAACCTTGTTTAAAACTACTTAAGAGATTTAAACAGACCTTCTCCTGTACCTGCCTTTGAATGTTCCAGTTGGCACAGAGGTAATACACCATGCTGCATTGAAGAAGAAGGAAGAAAATTCAAAACACTTGGACTTTCTTCAGGTGATCTGGGTCACAATTGCTGCCTGCAATTTATTCTGAGGGGTAAAAGAAAATATGAACTGAAATGAAAGTATTTTACTCTTTCTGCCTGTTGAGTTCCATCTATAAACCCTGGGAGCTGGAATCCAAAAGCCACAATATAATTTTCTCTAGTAGCAACAGTTTATGAAAAATGGCAGCAAGACATTGTATATTAACTGAATTATCCATTTGGAATCTATTTAGATTAATAATTCATGTGTTTTCTTATTTCTTGTAGAATGGAAACTGGAGAACTTGAAGAGGCTGGATGTCAATCAGGTATTAAACATATCTAATTTAGCAGGTCATAAACTTTATTAAATCATAAGTTCCGTGTGATTTAGGCTAGTGGAAGGAACTTGAATGAGAGGTCAAAAAGACATTTTCCTAGAATATGTTAAGTAATGTTAAATGAAGAGCTGCAGGAACTGCCCTCAGACTAAACATAACATGAAAAAGCTTTAATCTTGTGTTAACAGATGTGGCAACTACATACATCTACATCTCTTGTTGTATGACAAGAAGAAGAAGGCTTATCACACCGTTGTGAACTATTTGGTCATATGGCACTGTAAAAAGAATGCAGAACAATATGCTAGATCCTTGAAAGCTTGGTGCCAGTTACCTCCATATTACTTTGAGTGGCACCTAGTGTTTCCAGAATAAGTTCCACACACCTAAAAAAACTTTAGAAATAATTTATAATGTTTTCCTTCTGCTTTCCACTTTGAAAGCGTTTTGGGGTGGAGCTCACGCTTGCTCCTCTCCACATGCTGGGAAATGGCCAGCCGAACACAAAGCGTGGTCTAGTGCTTGCCCTGTGTAGAGAGCACCTGCCAGGTGCTTTTTACAACACTGTCCAGCTGCCTATTTGTGTGTCCAGTGTGGTTTTCCACCATTCTGGTGTCTGTTTTTTTGTCACTGGTTTTCCAGATGCTGCTATCATTATTAAATCAGCTTTTGCTATGGACTTGGATTATGTGTGGAGCTTTTTTGTGTGTGTGTTTTTATTTTTCTTTTAGTAAGGTTCATGATTAATCCTCAGCCATGTGGTAATATAGACAAATATATACCATGTTACTGTAAAGGAAGAAAAGAGTGAGCTTTCTAACCTTTGGTTCTGAAGCAGCCACCTTTTTAAATTATTTTTCCTTATCATGAAAATAACACATAGCACACATGCATGCACATACACAGCAACTCAGGCTCATAGGTTAAAGTTTGGGAAGTTGTGAATCAGCAGCTTTCAGTAAAGCTGGGGATGGATTTGGTCTCAAGGGTGGCAGGAGTCATGGGAATGTTGTTTCAGGAGTCACATAGAAGACTCTTGAGTGAGTGACTTTGTCCCTAGTAACAGATTTTGCAAACACAGCAATAGATGTAGAATTAAGTGTAAAAACAGCAAATTAATTTCTGCTTCGTATTGCACTACATGGGTTATGTCCTCTGCAAATAATGGTTTGGTGTTTGCCTTTGTACAGTAGATCTAAGGTTGTAGCAATGCCTTTGATTTTGATATAGTTGCTTCAGTTTTATGCTGGAGAAAAAAAAAGCAAGAGTTTTGGTGCCTAGTTTTGCGTTAAGCAAAAATATAAACCTAGTAAGACCCGTCTTTATACAAGTAAAAAGTAACAGTAGGTCATTTTATGAGAAATCTTACTGTAGGCAAAGGGACCTCCTTAAGGATTAAGGGATGAATGGGCATAGTAAACTTACAGAATCCCCCTGCAAAGGGGAGAAGGTGAATAGCAAGCACTGAGGCAACAAGGGTTCAGAAGTGCTTTTAAGAACAGGGTGTTTTATGGTCAGCTTAAAACTGTAAACACAGAAATAGTTCTTTCTGTGATGTAAATAGTAATAAAAAGTGGTATGCATTTCTGAGGGCAGGGAAAGACATATTGAATTTCTGTGAATATATACTGTGTGGGTTTTAGATATGCTTTTAAACTAAATGTATTTTTAAATCAGTATTAGAGTCTCGCTTTTTGAATCTAATCATGTCATGATGACTACTTGAAACAGTAAAGAATATTATGAAGGGATTTAATACTGTGAAGTTCTAACACGTAATGCCATTTACTTTGCCAAATACAGATACATTAAAACTAAACTAAATTTATTAGCTCTGTAAACTGGAAGTATGTTAAAATGGGAATTCTGTTGCTTCTGTTTGCACAGGCTGATATAGCACCACTGATGGCTTCTCTTATCGGTGTTCCTTTTCCCCTGAATTCTGTGGTAAGAAGTTAATTTTTTTTACCTTATGATAGGAGTCTTCTGTTTTTAGAGGAAGAGGTTTTTGAGAGAAGACTTGAGCATGTAAAAGAGAGGAAGATTACAGTTTTGGAAAAATTGTTGTAGAGGATGGAGACTGCATGTACTTTTAATTTTGTGTGTGTGTTTTGGGATTGGAGAATTCAGTCTTCTGATGTATTATTTAGACTTAAAATTTCCAGTTGAATAATCTAAAATTTTATGGTCTTAAGCAGTGTGAAAGTTTTGTTGATTTGTAATTAGGACTGGTAAAAAATAACAGTTTGGTTCAAATGACATTTGGGGTTAGTGATGAAAGTTGAGCCTGTAAAGCCAGTTCCTGCAAATTAATTTAAAATACTTTTTAAATTAAGTGTGCTGAGTCTTTTAGGTGGTATCTTGTACCACTAACTTAGTGGGCAGTGAAGTTCCTCACTGTGAGATGATATTTTCTTTGAATTTGTTTCCTGTATTTTCATATAGTCCAGAGGGGGTCTAATAATGTATTTTTGCTAACAGTAAAATCTGTAATGTGTTTTCTTATTTCACATGAATAACATCTATTTTCAGTGTACTTCAGAATACTTTTTTTTCTGGAAACTTGCCTCAGATTCTGTCCCTGTACTTTTAGCCATTCCTGGTCATTTGAACTATCTTGTGAGAAAAGTTTCCTAGCACACCGATGAAGAGCTAAGAATTGCTCTCTCTGTCACTGTGAATAATGATGCGTCAGGCCCAGGCGAGGGTTTGAATGAAACAGTCAAGTATTTAAAGAATAGATTCTGATTACTGACTGGGGTTTTATTATTATATAGTGTATAATGTCACAGCTTCTACTATTTGTCTTTTTTGTGCGACTGTGGGAGTTGGGATGTTGTGAACAGTCCTTCTGATGTAGTGAAATGATACAAGAGGACTGTTTTTAGTTTTAATGGAGTTACAGCAATTACCTCAGTAGTAATTTGAATTTTTTTGTTCAGTTGTCTTGCCATTCAGTTCAAGAAATTCATGTTTCTTCAGTTAGATCTTTGAGATGTACATGTGTGTATATAACTACCTATGTCTATTTTTTTTTGCTCCAGGGAACTCTGCCTCTGGAATATCTAAACAGTAGCGCCCATTTCAAAGCGGAGAGCATGTTTACAAATACTGTTCAGATTCTCGAACAGTTTAAGGTAACAAAAGACGTACTAAAAGGAAGGAAAGTATAATTTTGACTAATAATTCTTGTTGCTCTTTGTAAAAACTATTAGACTCGAACAAATACTGTTTACAGCATACTATAATTCAAAGAACTAAAACTGAACGCAGATGCTGGGTCATAGCAATTAACTAGCTGTGAACCAAATGGGAGTTGATTTGAGAGACTTTAATGAACATCTTTTTGGAAAGAAAATGAGTAGCTGCTTTTCTTTATTTTAAAATAAATTGGTTGGTGTTTTTTGCTTTTAGTTTATCATATCTCCATGCAGGGAGTAGATAGGCAGGCTCGATTCGAAGTGCTAAATTTTGGAAAGGAAATGTTTCCTTTGAAACAGTGACTGCGACACGCAGCCTGAACTCAGGATTAGCTAACAAACAGATCAAAAGTCTGTCTTAACCAAATGCAATTACCGTCTTAATTACCTTTTAGCTAACGCTTTCATATCAGCCTTTTCTTTCCTGCTCGATCTGATGCTGAATGTTGCTATGTCATGAGGACACGTCTGTAGAGCAAAGGTTCTGTTTCACTAGATGCTGTTCAGTTGTGGAGTAAGAAACATGCTCAAATCTCCCTTTTGGTAAGACCTAGAGATGCTGCAATGCAATGACCAGGACAGAATAAGGAGCTTAGCTTAGATGTGCTGCATGAGATGAGTGTGGAGGTCAGCACTGTTGTCATCTTCTGTCTCTTGAACACACAGGCTCCCGAGTGTAGTTTGTGTAGATATTACGTTAGAAGTGTTGTTTTCCAAATCTGTAGTGGCAAGCTTGCATGTGTGCAGAGATGATACCGGTTGGACATGACATTAAAGCAGTTTATCCAACATTCCTGGTAGGTATAGCCACTGGAGTCCAAAGACCTCTGCTTTAAGCACTGAAGGTGTCAGCTCTTTCCTAAGTTAAATTGATGTCTTGGGGATTTTTTTTTTTTTCTTAAGCAGGCCATTGTTTCTTTAAGCTTGTTTTTATTCAGTCATTTTATAGTGTTAAATCTATTTTCTTCCTTGCTAGTTTGTTTCTGGTATTGTTTTGGACGGATTGTGTGTGAACTCTTTTGGGTTTCTGTGCGGGAGAGCAGAAGTCGCGCACAGCTCAGACATGCCAGGCGGGTTCTTGCTGTTCCTGCGATGGGCTGACCTGACCATGGTTTGTGCTCCCTGGAGAGGATGTTGTTTTGGACAGATAAGATGCGACATGTAGATTGCTCCTTCAAGCTGTCAGATTCTGGGATGCAGTGTGCTAGAAATGTCTTCGCTGTACTTGATGCTAGCGGTCAGACTGGTGAAGGAGTCCTCAAAGATGTTTTGGAGGGCCTTGGGCAAAGCAGTGCCAAATGCATCAAAGCCTTTGCCATTACTCAGGTGCAGGTTAATCAGTCTAGTAGCAGAGTTATAGTTCTTTGAGCAGTGCTGAATGTTGGGGGGGTTACTTTCTTTAGAGTGGATCTGGACTTTTTAAGCACTCAGAGGAGCTACTAGTGCACGTTTGGTCATTAACAAGAGAGTAATACCCAGTTTCCTGGGCAGTATATTGACTATTCATTAGAGAATACGTGTATATATGTATGTGTGTGTGTATATATATACTTTTTTTTTTTTAATGCAGGTTAAGATGACTCAGAAAAAGGAAACAACATTGTCATTCCTGTTCACACCATTTAAGTAAGTGAATATAAAAAATTTGTACATTTTTCTTTGGTCTTATTACTTTGATATTTCCGTGGGATGTGACAACAAAGAAATTTGGTCTCCTCAATCTTTTCATTGAATGAGAGTGCTTATCCACCTGTTAAACTGTTAAAGTTATGCAGTTAATTTTTATTTAAAAATTCTAACCAAAGAAGATTTTTCTAAAAAGCCTATCCCTTAATCCTTAACTGAAGGCTAATGTATTATTTGCCTATCCTTTTTGACAATATAGCTATGTATAGGCTGCATGGTGATTTTCACTGATTTAGAAAACAAATGCCTTGGGAGATGCAAGTCCCTATAGGCTTAAGAAATAACATTCATTTTTATCCTTGCTTATATGTAGAAAAAGTAGAACTGGGAAATGTTTCTTCTGCGATTTAAAAACTAGTATTCTAAAAAAAAACCAAAAAAGGCAAATAAAACTCCCTGAAGCCAAAGAGAAGCCAAAAGAGAATATTTAGAATTTGTGCTGTCTGACACTAGAGTTTCTGTGGTCATGAAAGTGTTTCAAAAATTTTTGTGCATCTGTGACCTCTGCGTTCTAGTATATAGACTTGCTCACTTCTCATTCTTACCCAGTTAAAGCTTCATTTTTTTTTTTACCCTGAAAGGTTTTGGAATGCTTTCCTGTAGGTCTATATGGCAATAGTCAGTTCTGCCTTCCGTTCGTGGAGTGCTTCAAAATGCTTTGTCATTGAGAGCAGCTGTTTTCCTTTGGGAAATAAAGCTGATGTTAATTAAGGTCTGTAAATCATAGGAGCTGTAAAGTACTTGAATCTTTTCTATAAAGTATATTTAAGTGCTAAATAGGATTGCTCTCTTTCTGAACAGAGATTTACTGTGTTATTTTATACCACTAGCTTCTCCAAAGGGAGAGTTTGAAAATACTTAGTTTCTGAGACCTCAATCAAGTCTTGGCCACATTATCTTGGGTGCATAATGAATGTTTTAGCTAACGTTTGATTAAGAATGACAGTTTCATTATCAAATAACTTCTTGCTCCATATGGAGCAAAAATGCCATATGGAAAGGTTGCTCAGTCATCTTTTTTTTCATTCTGTGGGGAAGGCTGATAGTTTAGTTTTGCAGCTCTTGTTTATATTTTACTATCTTCTTGTCTGCTTTTCCCAAGAAACTTCTTTCTGTAAAACAGGATGTATTTTTCTTAAGTTAATGCTAAATTTGCCTCTGAAGGAACTAAGTGTTACTGATTGCCTTGTGGCCTAGGATTTTCTTTCCTTTTTGTAATACGTAGAGTTGTTTTAAGTGGAAATGCCAGAGACATTTATTATTTCAAGAATATGAATAAAATTTGATATGAGCATGGTGTTACTTTGGTACGGTTGATTGCAAAAATGCTTTCTTTAGGTACTCTTAAATTGCTTCTGAACAGAGCTTGGATTAATGGTCCTTCCAAGGCCTGTCCATGAAACTAAACGAATGCCTTAGGTGTGCGAATTACATGCAAGTTGTGTGGAGAATGACTTTGGTTCCTAAAGAAGATGATTCTTCACCCTAGAAAAAAAATATTTCATAAGCAAGCTGTCACGATACTAGTATGAGTGTTAATATCGATACTCATACTGCTGTGCTTGGGCACTGTTAGCTACTTGGTCCTCACAGTGCTCTTGGACTCCTTGAAGCTGCCCTGGCTCTGGGAAACTACCAACCTCCCTTGTCCAACTAACAGTTTGGATGAGGCAATTGAGCACCAGCTGATTTTTAAGCAGAGGAGTAACTTCCTCGTGGCCCAGCTTACAGGAAGGGAAGGGAAACCTTGGCATGTTGTGCCTACGGATCTGTGGCCTGTCCCTGTCCTGGAGGCTGCAGTGTGGCAGCAGTGAGCACGAGACCGACCACCAGCCGCTGCGGTTCATCTGGTGCATTGAAATAAATTGACCTTCATCAGGTGTCCAAGCTAAATGTGCAAACTGAGGATAGGTCTCTTCCTGCTTCCCTTATGGCGACCCTGCAGGTAGGTGAGGTGTTCCCTGTGTGTGCAGGTGGAAGGTGCACATTGCATGTTATCACAGCAAGCTTGGTCAGTGTGAACTTTCAGATCTCTCAGACCGGCTCGTACATAAAAAGAGCTTTTTACATTCTGGGTATCTAGTGAGCACCTTGGAAAGACTCAAGACCCAAAGGAAGCAATGTTATTATCCATGGGATCTGGTAATGGAGTACCACTGGTATCACTATACTGGATTAAAAACTTGCAAAATGAAGTATGAATGCAATTTTGTATTAGTACCCTCTTCAAAGAAAGGGAAAATGAAGATGAGAAGAAACAGTAATCTGTATTTCACAGAATCACAGAGTGTTTGAGGTTGGCAGGGACCTCTAGGGATCATCTAGCCTAACCCCCCTGCTCCAGCAGGGACACCCAGAGCACTTGGTACAGGGTGGCATCCAGGCGGGTTTGGAAGATCTCCAGAGAAGGAGCCTCCACAGCCTCTCTGGGCAGCCTGTTCCAGGGCTCTGTCTCCCTCACAGGAAAGAAGTTCTTCCTCATATGGAGGTGGAACTGCCTGTGTATCAATTTTTTTTTTAGCAAGGGTTAAAAGGATGTAAGATTGGTACTTTTGCTCTACCGTTTTCAGGAAAAGATTTAAGAAGGCAAAGTTCTGGGGACAGCTTCTTCCCCTACCTGGAGCAGGAGCTCTCTTGGTCTGCTGTTATGTTTCAGAGTGCTTAGGGTTTGATCTTGGTACAGAGATGCTGTTTCTGCATGACCACGCAGTATTTGACCATCTCAGTACAGTACTAATGGAAACTTTCCCACAAGTTTGTATTAGTCTCTGATTAGCCCTGTCTGCTGCTGCAGCTAAGCACAATTCCGCGTTGTCTTCCTGTCACTCATTAAGGTAACCTCTACCGCTACTGATTGATTTGGATTTTTGTACGAAGGAATTAAATGTCTTTATTCTTTGTCTTTTCATCCTTGTGGGGCTTGAAACTTTTAACTCGAGGCTCAGAAGGAGTGTATGCCCGCGTGGTACTGCATTCCATGGTACTGCGTTCCTCCCTAGTTTTTTTTGAGCTTAGTGAAGCATAAGTCATGTCTGTTAAGTGCCTTAGGTCCATCAAGCTTGTGTGGAAATAGAAAATGTAAATATTCTGTGTTAAAGTATTACATATTTTAGGTATATTTCAGCATCACGATTGCTTTAAAAATGAACAAAGTATGCCTATAAGAATTGGCGGTCTAAAATTTGTTAGATAGCCATAAAAGCCGTAGCTGAACAAATGATATTTAAGTTTGTGCAATGGAAATGTCGATCTGAGTTACAGAATTTCAAATGTCAGACTAAGACGTTCTTCTCAGTGAGGTTGATGTAATTATTATTAAAGGTGCATTTAGGGCTGAAAATATGTTCACAGACCATGTATTCTGTAGAAAATATGCCTTATCAGAAACGTGAGCTTTTTTCAACCAGAAATAATACAGAAGGTTCATTCCAGTATTCTCTGGGGAAAATTGCATTTACCAGATTGAATCTTCAAATATTTTATTTCCAAGTGACTAAAAAACTGTTCGTGACCTTCAGATGTAATGACTTAAAAACTAGTCTTCGGGCTGCGTGTGGACCCTGTCACACCTGGTGTGTCAGCTAGTTTGTCTGCCTGACGAGCCTGTTTTTGCTACCTGCTCACACAGAGAGGGCAGCAGAGAGGAGGCTCGTTGTCCTGCTGCAGGATTCTTCCAGTTTCCACAGGAATATGTTTTCCGGGGACAGTATGGGTAGCACGACGGACAGAAGATGGTGGTGGCAGTTTGGAACATGCCCTTTCTTTGCTTGGATCCAAATTGGATCTCTGAGTGAAATCCAGCTGCTGAGTGTATTGGGATGGGGGTGGGGGGGTGCATCTGATGGCCATGTGGGGCCGTGGGGACTTGGGGGAGTGTCTGCCTGGGTGGCTTTGGGGCAGGCTGGAGCTGGGGTGGCTGTAGCTGTTTGTGAGGATGTGTCCGGCTGTCAGTAAATGCGGCTTAGTCAATGCCCCTTCATCAAGGAAGGAGTCTGAATGAAAGCCTGTGTGGAGGCTACTTGTGAGGCAGAGTGTTTCAGCATTTCCAGGAGAGCTCAGCTACAAACATCTGCTGATCCTGCCCAGGAAAGTGCTTAGCCAGGAGGGGACGCCCAGGGGGACAAATACAGAAGGGCAGGAAAGTGTCTCCTGCCTTCTACACAAGTTAACTGAAAGGCTGATGCTCAAAAATGACTTTGAATATTGATCTGCAATTCCAGCTGGATTCTTGGAGAGATTTATTGTCTTAAATTTTAGTCCCCACTCCTTTCTATTCCCCACATTTTTCTCCTGCTATGGAAGGCAAGGTTTCTAAAAGTTACTTTCTTTGCAAAATCAGAAGTTGATGTTTCAATGGACGAAGGCACAGTGCTTTGACCTTTATGATTAGAAAAGGCAGGCGTCAAGATGGCACAGCTTCGAATGAAGAGTGAGGGAGGACAAATCTAGATCGCTGACAGGGGAAAACTGATGCCCAAGAAAGTTCACTACATTATTGGTGTTCCGGCCATTTCATGCACCTTGAGGCAACTGCAGAGCTGGCACAGCTTGCGGAGGAGCGCGCCAAGGCGCCAGATGCTGTTGCAAAAGCAACTCCACAGCTGGCATCTCTGGGCTGTGAAAAGAATCCTGAAAGGAGCAGGAGGACTGTTGTGCGGAGGTGAGTAGATGGACATCATCTAGTAGACATCAGTAGACATCAGTAGAGGGACATCAATGTCGCACTACAGTCCTCTTAAACAATTCATTCTATTTGATTATCCCAGCAGCTGCAAGAGGTTTAAAATACTAGATCACACAAAAGCACAGAGGTGCTTCTTGTCTATGCTGGGGTGTGCGATTTTTTTGGGGGGGGGGAAAACTGCTCCCAACTGTTAAGGTTTTTGTTGCCTCACAGTAAGATGGAAGGGCAGTAGTTTAAAAGGAGCCATATACAAAAA